CTTAGTAAAATTTGTTTTACGTTTAAAGTATTCGAAACAAGTGCGCGTTCGGAGCTCTGATTGGCCGGCTCCAATGAAGCAACCAATCAGAGCGCCGGATGCGGTCTTGACTCGATTACTTTACGTAAAACAAACTCGTACTAAGGCCTATGAAGGCTCAGTACGAATTTCTTTTATTTTAAATGTAATCGACACATTGATGAATTGGTCTGCTCTAATGAACCAACCAATCAGAGGGTTAAACGAAGTGTCGTTTCAATGTCGTTAAGCGTAAAAGAAACTAGTACTAGGCCCTCTGATTCCCTTCTGCCAGACAGTGTTTCTTCTAAACTAATTCGCTCATCTTTTTACAGGAAGACCTGAGTGTAGATGACGCAAAAGAGATCGTAGAGAAACTCAAAAAGGACGAGAAACCCAAACCGGGACCAAGGTATAAAGTTCAAATAGATATATAATTTTATATCAATTTTGCGAAACTTGTTTAATGTTTATTATATTGAGTCAAGAAGGAAAACTGAGAATAATTAATACTAGCGACCCGCCCCGGCTTCGCATGGGTGTAATATGCATGTATTATACATACAAACCGTACTTGAGAATCACTCTATCTATTAAAGAAAACCGCATCAAAATCCGTTTCGTAGTTTTAAAGATCTAAGCATACATAGGGACAGACAGACGGAGTATAGCGACTTTGTTTTATACTATGTAGTGATGAAATGTGAAAGTTTGTGTGTAAAACGGCTGAAGATATCGGGATGCTTGTAAATCATCCCAAATTATGGCCTGGAGTAACACATAGGCTTCTTTTTATACAACGGAAGTGCGGAGATGTCGGTGGCAGAGCCATATTATGGTACTTGCCAACTAGTAAAATTCAGTACTTTTTACGAATTGTCAAAAACGACAGTTTTCTATGAATTTTGTACGAGATTGTGTATTGTGACGTCACGTGTTTTAGCGTCAAAAGAATACTTATTTCTTAAAATTTTGCTGGAAAAATACTAAAATTAAGTTGGTCATAAAACCAGTTAATGAAAGTGTGATTATTGTTTTATATTTTATTGTATTGA